AATAATATAAATTAATAAAAACTATATTTTTTATTAAAGTATATTTCATTATTATTTTGGTTGGAAGTGAAAAAGATAAATAAAAAAAAGGTTAAAAATGACATAAATATACTTAAAAAAAATAAAATTAATATTATTTATTACTATTTACTCTCTCACATAACAAATATACTTAAAAAAAATGACATTGTACAGTGAATTTCAATTGTTAAAATGTGTCTCACGACACATTAGAAAAATTGATTATTTTAATTCTCTCAGGAGCATCTCTATTGCATGTGGAGCCCAGTAGTTGTGGGGGGCAATATCCTTTAAAAACAAAAGAATACAAAAGGTACGTCTTGAATCGTAGTTAGGCTAAGTTTAGAAAAGTAGTAAGATTCTTCATGTTTCAAATTAATTGGGTGTGCCATGGCATTTTCCTCATAGTCTTTCGTAAGCCTATAACTATGAAGCTATATATTAAATGCTTAATTAGGATGTATATATATGCCTACTCTATTATGTTATAACCAATCATAGTGTTTCCACTTTAAAAATAACAATAACAATAATAATCATATTTTCTTCAAATTTTGTCTTCAAAATATCCATGATGATAAACTAATTAACTAATCATGTGACCATGGAGTAACTATAATTTATAACTATTTTTTAATCATTTTTCAAGATTATAGTGTGTGTTATCATCAAAATGTGTACTCCTGTATCCAAAGTCCCATTAAGATAAAATCAATAATAAATTGTCGTACGCATAATAAGATTTTGAATTTAATTATGATACAGTGATTACGTAGACAAAATAATATTGTTATCCAATTATAGATGAATAATAAGATTATTATTTTTGTAATTTTTTTTTATAATAACATATAATTTTTATTGGAAGAGATTTTGTCTGAGACAGATATGATTATTATAAAGATAATTTTTTTACGAGTGTTTAAAATAATTAAAAAATAGATCAAAACAATATTATGTCAATTGATTCACAAATTTTGTAGCTGTAATATTTATTTTAAAAATCATATTTTCTATTTATAAACAATATAAATGTTTTGACATTTTTTTTTCTCATTTTCATATATCACATGTCATCGACATATTAACGTATTGAAAATTAAAAATATATTTATGTTTTTTTTATTAATCAAAATAATAAATTTCATTTTGACTTTTGTTGAGTTGCATTGTGTTTTGTTAATGAACCACCTCATATTCGTAACCAGACAATACGTGTGAATTCCGATGATATGTAGTAATCTCCACTTAGAAAAAAAAAAAGAACAATATATGACCAAGCTGTGACTGTGTCGTGGCTAAACTGATGAGGCACAGACAAATGCATGTTTCATATGATAACACTTAGCATGAAGGTATACTAATGGAGAAAGCAAGGGTTACATAATTCAAGGGTTTTGATTCAGATTTCTGTCGCACAACACTAATGCCTGCCGGAGGCATCTGAAGAAGACACCGAACCGAACTATGGTGGAGTGGCACTGGCAAGGGACAAGATCATTGGATACAATTATTTCACATGTTTGCTTGAAGTTGACCTTCCCATGACTATAAATTAACACTTTAATTTCTTTTGACAAATTTGACTATACAATATTTTATTTTTTAAGAAAATAAAATACATTAACTCCCATTTAAAAATATTTTTTTTATTTCTCGTTGATATCATCTTTGATAATTTAATCGATCAACATGTGTGAACCATATATATATATATATATAGTTATGTGTAAAATTGAATTTCAGTCCTTTGTTTATTTATTTATTTTTCAAATTGATCTCTTTGTCAATTTTTATACTAAAAATATTAATTTTGATTGATGTGATATCTCTCATAATTTATCACATGTTATTAAGTTGACAAAATTAATGTAATAAATGGATAGAAGACTCGATTCTAAAAGATTAAATTAAAATAAAAAAATAAATGAAGATCAAAATTCTATTTTAACATTTAATTATTTATTTTATTTAAAGTTACGTGGTATATATTTTTTTATTTTATAGTTACATGTATTTTTATAGTAGGTAATTGAGTTAGAGATTAACTCTTTTAACGAGCGTTTTAATTAGTTTCATTTTATACAGAAATTCGAATTTGAATTCTTTATTGAGAAATTAGACATGCACTATTTCAATCAATTAATCACTGATACGTACTAAACTTAATCAATTTTAGTGTTTAATCATATATAACAAAATGCTGTCAGCTTATTAGTCAGGTACTCAGGTTAGTGGTTAATTAGTTACAACTAAAGTAATTAAGTTAGAGTTTGTTACAATAAAGGTGTTAGTTTAGTTGGCTCCTTATAAATTAGAATTTTAAACAGGTTAATCCAATTTCATTTATCAAAAAGTTTATATTTTTAATAAGTCAAAAAAAAAATTAACCTAACTTGATTCATCATGGATTGATGGATTAAATAAATTTAATCTAACATATATTTTTTAAAATAAAAACATATTAAAAATCAAAATAATAATAATTTTTTAAAACAGTCAATTTTTTTTTCCAATCAAATCATTCATCGATTTAAATAGAAATATAAAATAAAATATCATTTGAAAGATATTTTTATTTCTAATTATTAAGGTAGAATATTTTTAATTTTGATTTGTAAGTTGGTTAAATAGGTTAACCTAGTTGAACTCAACTCAAATTCATTTACTTCACAAATTAAGCAGATGAAGTTGAAAGTATAATAAAATCTATGATTTTTTTTTTTTATACTTGAACTAACTCAAACTTATAGTAAGTTGAATTGATCCATTAAGTTAGATCCACCTTAAAAACTCTATATATATAAAAAATAATAACTTAAGATTTATCGATATTTAGAAGAACAAAATGAATATTTTTAGGTTAAATATACTTGTTTCGATTAGTTTTTTCATAAATTATTTTTGAAAGCATTATTTTTATTATTTAACCGTATGGTTAGTACTTTTAATATTTAACGATTCGCAATTTTTATTTTCTAAAATTATAACTAAAGTAGAAGTTAATTTATTTCTGACATCAAATTAGTATCAATACTTGTGAATGTGGTCCCCAATGTATTTCACTATAAGTTTTGAGAGCATTAATTTTGGGCTTCTATACTCTTGCGTATGTTTCCATGATGTGTCAAACTACACATTTGTATGTGATTGAAGACCCGTGACAATTTTGATGGTTCTCAATCTCATTGTACTGTGATGAAAAGTTAGATCAACACTGACTAGAGATTTGATTTCTCTCACAGCTCATTAATCAAATTTGAAGGACATGCCTTTGTTGCACTTCTTCTGTGATTCTTTCTAACAAATGCATTCTTTGGAAGGATTTATTTAAGCCTATCTTTTATAATATAAATATTTGTATGACAATTTGGAAGAGTCTATGAAAACAATTTAACATAAGTCCACAAACTATATCTTTTTAATTTATTTTAATGAGTTTTTAGATAAATTTTTAAGACAACTTATAACTTAAATGAAATTGTTTGATTTTATTTTCTTAATTTTAAAAATAACTTATATATAGGCACTTACATAATAAATACTTATTCAATAAGAGCTTAATTAAACTGTTTAAAAAAAACATGCACAAGATCCATTTTTCCTTTCTTCTATTAAAGTGACTCATCCCTTTTTAACAATTGTTAGCTTATATAGGTGTAAGGTCAAATACTAAAACCATATTTTTTATGTATATAGTTTGGAAGGATATTCTACTTTGTAAGTTACATGCCTAACTATATGGATAGAGAATAATTACTCGATTCAAATTTATTTTGTTTTTTTATTTATAAAATCATAATTTTGTATTATTATAAAGATATATATTTTCCATTATTGATCTGGGGTGGTCCAAATAATAAATTCACACTCAAATTAGAGATGATTTCTTTAAATTGTCTAATCAAACACAACTAAACATAATAAATGAAAGTTGTGACATTCGTAAAGACTCTAATACTCAAATTAAAAGAGATTTTGAGATAATATTAATTTATTAAAATAAGAAAAAAATATTGAACTACGAGAAAAAATATATAGTATATAATTGAAAGTTATATATTGATTAAAGGGGTAAAGACTATTATCCACTCATATGAACAATTATTCACTCAATGCTTGCAATTTTAGTCCTAGAACAATTGTTAAAACTAATTATGATGCTTTCTAAGTATTTGATGTGATAAGATAGAAGGTAATATTAAATTTAGTTTACTTTGATGTTTCGAATTGTTATTACTCCTCAAACATGTAATTAGATTAGTCTCAAAGTGTGTACTCATGTGAGGAGTTGTTAGGTAAGTCAAGATCCTCTAAATTAGGGTTAGAATTGGCCTAATTGCCTTCAATGATTTGATGAATCTTGACCAAAGTTTGGGTACTCTTTTTGTTTCATAACAATGTATATTTGAACTAAATACGTTGAAAAATAATTTATTTTCCATATTATATCTCTTTAAAGGTTATATAAAAACAATTAATATTATTATTTTTAAATTTTTTTTGTTATCGTCTAATAAAGATAATAATATGATAATTTATCGTTTTGAGAAGAGTATTCTTTTTGCAGTTTCTAGACATACTTTATTACAAAAATATATCCTTCACATTGATTTTATCATTACATGAAATCTTAACCTTTTAATAAATTTTATTAGTATGATATATTACTTTGATAAAATGGGAATTTTAAACAACAAATTATTGAATTATAAGACTTGATCATCTCAACCAAAAACAAAATTACATCGAAAAGATCCGTTCCCATTTAATTTGTTACTTTGTTTTCGAAACTTAGTATCAGCAGTTTAACTCTGATTTAGTGTATGCTTGTTTATGCGTTGTCTTTCCGAATCACGTCTAAGATGGAGAAATTATCACAAGTAATTTTGGTTTAGACTTGAAAAACACGAGATTTAATGGTTGACGAAACACAGAGTTTGTAACATATCATATAATGTTATATTTCATAAATAATGAAAGATATCAGATAGCATCATATTTCATAAATCAGAAATGATATGTATACAAAAACAAACAATTGAAGACCCTTCTAATTAAAACCTGAAAACTATAATCAACACCCGTCAGTGACTTTTTCTTTTCTAGAAGAAAAATGTAATCAACAAGCATCAGTTGGCAACCTGAATATTGGTAAAAAAAACAAATAGAGGCTAATCATCCAGACAATGCAGGATAGTAGTTTTAAAAAATGCCATTTTACTTTATGCTGATCCAAATTCGGCAAACCACTTCGCATGGCGTTCAATGTCAGCCTGAGAAACACTTGGTTGGACTTTCTTGAGAGCTTCTTCAAAATCACACATTGCAATAGGATCCTTCGAAATTTCATCCTTTGACATGTTCTTTATCTCATCACGCGTCTTTCCTGCTATCTTACGCCTCATTCCATTCAGAGAAGCATCACGGCACACATTTGTCAAGTCATCTCCACTATATCCCTCTGTCCGCCGTGCCACTTCATCTATGTTCACATTAGGGGCCACCTGCATGCATGGTGCAACATAAAACTCTGCTTACTGTCAATTTCTTTCATTTTGCTTTTTTGCTTTTTGGTAAATAAGTACTTCAATTCTTCTCAATTAATTAAAGGCTTCACAATAAAAGACAATAAACAACACAGTATCAAACTTAGTTTTTTAACTCAGTGGTCGAAAGGCTTAATCCAATGATTATAAAGCTTGTCCTCAAAGACAAGTACTTCGAAATTCTATTCTTATAGTGTTAAAATAATGTTTCATTAATAAAAGTTATTTTTTGTGAGTATAAATTAATCTTTAGTTATCAACTTTAAGATATTGCACGAATTGTATCCATGAACCAAAAGAAAAATACAACACAGTATCACAGTAATGTAACATCCTAACTTGCCTCTACTGTCTTCAAATTGATACGGATCAGCTCTTTACGACTCTCAAAATTTGGAAGAGGAATGTATATACGCTTTTCCAACCTTCTCCTGCTTTGCATTAACATCAAATTGGATCAATTAGTGGTGACTAGCATAAGAAGATTTCAGAACAAAATATAACTCATCATTTCATTTATAACTTGTGAAGTTAGGCAGAAAAACAAATACAGACCTCAGTGCTTCATCTATGTCCCATGGAAAGTTGGTGGCTGCCAAAACCATTACTATTTTACGGGTACCATCTTCATTTGTGGAACTATTATTTACACCATCAACCTGAACTAGAAGTTCAGACTTCACCCTTCTGGATGATTCATGCTCCCCGGAAGCCCTGACGAATAAAAAAAGTTCAGCTCATTCAAAGTTCAATCTCTCACAGCCCAAATTAAGGGTGAGCTGAAGCATAATGCCCCATAAAGAAGATAGACTTACCCCCTAGCATTGCAGAGAGAATCAATTTCATCAATGAAAATTGTACTGGGTGCATACGCTCTTGCAAGATCAAACAAACACCGTACCATGCGCTCGCTCTCTCCACGCCATTTAGAAGCCAAAGTAGCAGAAGAAACGTTGAAAAAAGTGGTACCACATTCGGTAGCAACTGCTTTAGCAAGAAGCGTCTTCCCAGTTCCTGGAGGTCCAAACATGAGAACACCTTTCCACGGTCTCCTTATTCCCTGCAACAACACAAACAACCAACTCCATTCAATGAGTGGGAGTGATCCATATCCATGAGAGCCTGCTTAATTAAACCAACAAAAGAAAAAACAAACAGCATCTTCTTTCACAAAAAATTCACCAGCTTCATGTATTTGTTAAAACAACGTTTAATTACTCATTTGATTCTTATTTTCCTACAATCTTTAAGGTTTAGTTCCTATACTGAAAAACAACTCATTTTAGTTCCTACATATACACTTTTTTTTAAAGCTCATTTTAGTCTCTATATATTTACTTTTTAATATGTTTTAATTCTTACAATTTTGAACGATAGTTACTAAAACAGATTACAAAACGTATGCATATGAGTAGTTTTTACCAACAAATTAGTTTTTACAAAACAGATTATAATTTTGCCAATAGTTGCAATCCAGAATATTAGTGCAGCATATTACCTGCTATGATAAGAAATAACGAAAACAAATTATCAATTTTTATATAAATTATAGGTGTTTTTTACTAATGAAAAAAGAATAAAACTTAGATACAATTAATTAATTAAATGTAATTGGTATTATTTTTCAGTTGAAGTTTTATCTCAATGTATTAATATATGTTAATGTATATTAATTAGACCTGCATTAAATACAAATATATAATACCGAAAAGAAAAAAAAAAAACTTTTAACTTTGAGCAGAGGATGACACCTAAGAAACATAAATAAATGTATCTAAAGTTTGTGTTTATTTATTTAAATATTACTAAATAAGTATTATGTGTATAATTAATTGTGGGTATAAAATCAAACATTTCCCTATAATAATAAATAGTATAGAATAAATTATCTCATAGAGTTGACAGACTCAATTGATGAATTATTATGTAGTATATATATTTGCAATAGCAATGAGAGTTGAAAATGGTAACCTGAAAATATTCAGGCATCCACAAGGGAAGCACAACGGCTTCTTCTAGAAGCCTCTTGGCTTCATTGAGTCCTGCAACATCATCCCATCTCACACCAGGAGACGTTTCTAACACATCCCTCTCAAGCATTTCTGCTAACTCTGGATCACCACCTTCATATTCTGACCTCTTTGACTTTCCATCAGCCCCATTCTAACCATAACAACACAATAATAGTAATAATAAATCACACATTTATCAATACAACACGAAATCATCACATAAACACAACTCACAGCAACTGAATGCGACTTCCCGGTGCCTCTCTTCCCTGTGGGGGCGGGAGGCCTGGGCCCAGAGTTAACCCTGGGCTTCGCGGGCTTGGAGGCGGGCCTGGTAGGACCACGGGCCCAGGCCCCGTCCTTGCGAGGAGCGGGCCTGGCGGGCCTCCTGGCGTCGCGAGTGGGCGGCCTCCAGACGTCGGGATCATGATCGTGGATGGAGGAAGTAGAAATTGGATACTCATCCAACGGTTGAAAAAGAAAGGACGATTTGTGTGAGTGTGTGGGGGTTTCCTTAAACGCTCTTCTCTCTGCGTTTAGTTGTTTCACCACTTCCGTTTCCTCGCTCAGCGCTTTCTTCACCTTCATCCATTTCGCTCGCACTAGAGGCTCCTCCACGCTGTTCAGGTGCCTGAAATAACAAGGTTGATGTTGATATTGAATTGAATTGAAACGACGATGGATTGGATAAGGATTGGTTTACTTGCTGATTTGGGCGACGGCGCCGTCGAAGAAGATGATGGAGGTGTCGTAGAGGCCTTCCAGAGCGTAATCTCTTGCCAATTTAAGGTGCTCTTGCAGGCCACTCAATGAATTCCCACTCATTTTTTATTATTTTTTTTATTTTTACTCTAGAATTTCAAAAACATAATGCGAATGTTCCCTTCATGAATCATGTGGATTCATTCTCAACTCATCTTCTACAGTTTGGAGTGGTTGGCGTTGGGCGTTGGCTGCTGGTAACGGAATGGGCCCACCACTCCCCCCAACAAACTTGCCATTTCCATAATCAAACTTCAACTCGAACTCCAGGCCATTGATTAAGCTAAAACAATCATATATAAGTTGATTCACATGTATCTTCATTACAAAATTTCATTTGAAATGGAATTTTTTCTATATAGTTATACTTTGATCAAACTTTGGCTTTTTTCTTTCTTTAATTATTAATAATACTTTTGTTTCCACATTTGTTTTATTTGAATTTATATGGAATGTTAATTTAGGATCACCCATGTCATTAGTAATGCCATCATGGTTGCGAGTTAGGCGTCTAAGAACCGAAAATTACAGGTTGAGACTAAAATCATTTCAAACCAACCGAATCGCTATGATGGGATCAAAGAATACTCATTGTCAGTTAGTGTATGCTTACCAACAGATGTTAGCTCAAGGTGAAAGGCTAGTTTTAACAACCGATGAATCATGATTTGGTTATTGATTAGCGTGTGTGTATATTTAGTATTTGATGTACTTTGAGTAAGAATAGAAGATAAAACCAAAAATATCATTTGTTATGCTTGACGCGTAAATATTTCAACATGATCAGGTTGCTTAAAGTGCTCACTTTTAACTTCCAAAGCGGTAGTGACAGCAGACAACTACTGCCAACCACACCAATGATCAATGGTGGAAATTGCTTTAAGTTTGCAGTAAGTGAACTAATGAGGCAGAGAAAAAAGAGGAAGAGAGATGGAGGAGAACGGAAGTGTCTCTTAGGAGAAATATTAATTGCTATTGCATCTACATTATATGTGTGACAGCTAGTATTATAACTAAATATTAAATGAAATGTGTTCATAAACTTAGTAGTGGTCAGATGACATCTATGACAGGGCATCAAAATGTAAAGACACCACACTCACATAGTCACATGGAAGACACATAAATCTACCATAACCACTCTGCTGCAGTAACTCTCATGAAAACGATGGATAAAGCAAATATCGATAGGCATAGAATATTTTTGCATGTATGTAATAGAATTTAATGAATATGAAAGAAGTGCATGCATCTATTTGGAATATCAAAATGAAAATAACAAAAACTTGCTATCCCACAACTTAACAGAGTATAAAATAAATCCTCCATTTATTCAAATGCACCAGTTGCAAACTTGCTACATTGGCAAGTGAAATTTCTTTGTATTGGTATCTATTATTTTTCACCCTATGGAGGCTTGGGAAGGGGATCTGCTATGATTAATTTTTCAGTTACTGACGCAGTCCATATCTAACAAATTCTTCTAAGCCTTTCTTCAGCCTTTCTGCAGCAGCTCTGCAATCATTCTCTGTCAAGCCTCCAAATGAAATTCTAAGATTTCCGGAAGAACCGCATGCACTCCCTGGGATCACTGCAACCCCGTGCTTGTTAATTAGCCATCTAACAACCTCAAAATCATCGTAAGCATTTCCGTGTGGGAGCTTTGCCCACAGGTATATGGCACCTTCTCCTCCTTTCACAGAACCCTCTCCAAGAGGGGAGAGAGCTTCTAAAACAATTTCTCTGTTCTTCTCAAGGCTTTTTACGTTGCCTACGACCCATTGAGGCCCCTGTTCCAATGCATACAGCGCAACATACTGTGATAATATTGTAGCACAGATGGGAATGTTGTCTTGAACTTTGAGAAGTTGAGCAGCAAATTCTTTTACTTCAGAGGGGTATGCTATCTGCAATAATCAGGTATTAGTTAGGACAGACTAGGCAGTACTGGTCTTTTAGCACTAATAATAAGTTTGCAACTGAAAATGCAACTACTATGTTGCAGCGAAGAAACTGATAAGATAGAACATAAAGTGGAAGTTGTATAGACATGTGTTCATTATCCGAATTCTTGCCTGATTTGCTTACTGTGTGACATAGAATAAGATCGGTGTTTGTTTTTTCTTCTTCTCCACACTAGAATAATACTATGGTAAGGGATATTAATTGTTAAAAATAAAAGTAAAAGAAGCTAGACCAAGGCATGGCTTCTAAAGTCGTGGAAATCTAGGACAATGCATGTTGTGTTGCTTCGCTTGAAAAATTAAAATTTACAAGTAAAATCACTTCAAAGAATATCAATACGAAAACTCCAACAGGACATCACCAACATTTACTGTTCGAAGGTCTCACATTCCGTCTCATTTCTTGGAGTACAACTTATATATTTATTAGAACAACTTCACTTAATGCTAATTAGTTTTAAGAAGAAATCTAAGATGGTATCAAAGTCTATATAGTCCACTTTGGTTCTAATGGGAAACTTCACTGGATGCTAATTGCTAGTTGGTTTTAAGATGAAATCTAATATTTACAAGCTCCATTGGTTGTATAACATGGTTAATAAATCCTTCTTTCACTAAAGATGGTCATATAAACTATAAAGTATGATGTTTCTCTCTCCTGCCGATGAAACTAAATAAAGAGAAAACTATAAAGTGGTACTTACATATCCAACCCGCCATCCCATCATTCCATATGCTTTTGAGAATGAGAAAACATTAACAATGTGGTTTGCCTCAATACAAGAGTGTTTCAGACCATCATACATAAAATACCTGCACACAGAATTTGTTTAAAAATAATTCTAGATGTATGAACTTGCAACTCAGTCGATATGATTCGGAGACAATGTACAATCGTTTAGGTAGTCATATTCAGTAGGATCTCATATGGATGCTATAAAGAACAGCAGGTATGACCATAATATAAGTGAAACATATTAAAGATTTATCTGAAATGATAAAGAACGGAAAAACTTGTCAATAAACTAATCAGGAATTTTCTTGAGCACAAGCTATGTAAATGTAATCAATTAATTAAATGGTCCTAAGAAGAACACAGTCTTTTTTTTAGTTTCTTTTCATAATTAAAGAAAATAATATGATAAATTTTCTATTAGCCTAGCAAGTTAAAAGACTTACTCGTATGTATTATCAACAACAAGCCAAGAGCCAGCCTTCTCGCAGAGATCTGAAATCCTCTGATCAAATAAGAGAAAGCATTTACTTAGAAAATTTATAGATTTTTAAAAAATACTGTTATGGTCAATCAGCATATTTTTCAGGAATATTATTTTGTGAGGTCAAATACAGGCATACTGGCCGCACAAGAAGATTAATAAAGAAGCATTTCTAAAATCATACTAGCTGTTGATATATTCAAAGGGGAAGAGAGAAAGAAAGAGACCTTTAGAAGGGGCTCTGGAATGTAAGTTCCAGTAGGATTGCCTGGATTTACAACAGTTACAAGCTTTGGAGCCGGTTTAGTTTCTGATAATATTCTTTCCAACCAGTCTGAAAATCAAGACAACTGTGATAAATATCCTAAACATGGAAATCCAACATCAGAAGAAACTGTAAACTTGGATGATTATGTCCAACAGACATCAATAAGCCTTCTAAGATTCTTGTCATGTATATGTATAAGGGATAGTAATGAGTAGATAGCTGTTCATCATCACGTGCAACTTGTACATAGCACAACAAGTGAAATTACAAATGGTACAACCTAATCAACCGCCGGTCATTTGCATGCACAAGAAACAAAAAATTCAGTTAAATAATCAATATGATTATGACTTATTTGACAATGCAAGTTACAACTTCATGCAACATCATAAAACACTCAACGGATTGGACATACACAAATTTATAACAACCCAATATACCTCCTTAAAAGAGGAAAGGTTTACATGTATACAGACCAATCCATCCAACTATTAACCAATATGTGAACCCCACGGATGGAGGAAAAAAGATGCTCTTAGCAACCAAAGATTGCTTTGCTTCCCTAGTCCATGCCAGTAAAAATGGATTACAGTAACCAGATCATGCAGCTACTTACCTGCATCGGGATGAAGTGTGTCTGGGTTACCAGGACCAACTAGTATATTGGTAATGCCAGTCATCTGGAAGGACATGTAGGCATTGAAGTAGTAAGGAGCAAACAGAACCACAGAATCACCCGGGTCACACAGAGTAAGAACTAGATTCACAAATGCCTGTATTTGTAGGAATAGAATAAATTATCACAAATGTTTAGAGATGAGCACAACAATACTGGTGAAAGCTTAAACTATACTGATCAACCAAACAAAATGAGTTCTTTAGTCATTAACTCATTATCTTTTCTAGGATATAACAAAAACAAAGAATATAAAACAAAAATTACATGATTGGTTATTATTGATAACCTGACCTGATTGGCACCTGCTGTAACCATTACTGAAGATTTGTGCAAATTATTTTCATCACGTAACTACATAAACATGATAAAAGAGAATAAGTTAATTCATTAGTCACCGAGATCCAAGTTTCATATAGCAAAATAATTGGTCACAGAGCAAATAAGATACAAATACAAAAGGCCTTGTGACAGATCTATAACATCAGAAAAAATAGCTAACACCAGACTGCTAGGAGAAAACTTTGTTACATAAAGTAAAATAAAGAGATTGAGCCATAGCCAAACAACAATTATAATCTAAAAAAATTATCTTGACTTGTCCAAAACAATTAAGTTACGACCCAAGTTCAGCTGAATCCATATTTAGGTTCCAAATACAAACATAAAGCAATTGGATAAAGCCAAGAGACCAAAGACTATATACTAGACACTAGTAGGTCTATTAATCTACCTAATCTAATTAATGATCAACTTGAATTAATTTCTCCATAAAATGCAAATATAACTGCAGTGTCAATCTTTGTTAGTTCCAACATATTTCAGAATCTACACTACATGAGATTTCCACCAAAGGAAAGTTCTGTCTTGTGGACAATACATTACTATGTTATCTACATATAATCAGCTTTAACTGAAGGTAAAAGAAAGAGACATGTACTCTTCCCCTTCTATTTGTTAAACAATTTAGAAAAAGAAATTATTTCATTTTGATTGTCATTTTACAATATCAAAGAAACATTCAATGTATTTTTCCTATCATATCCTTTAACTAGATATTGTGGAGTGAGAAAATATAAAAAAGTATAGATGAGAAAGAATCCAATCTAACTAATATATAAAAGATAAAGAGTATATTAGAAAATTGCATAATAATATTTATGAAATCTAAAATATTAATAACATTTCTTAATTGCAAAAACCTTAAATGTAAAAAAAAAGAAAAAAGAAAAAAAAAAGGAATGGGGGAGTATTATTCTATATAAATAATAAGAGTTGTTATCTTTAAACAAAACAACTATCAACATGTATGTTGTAAACTGCCTTGGATTGTCTAATTCAACTGCTACAAATGGCCTTCAATAGGTTTTTGACCTGATGCAAGCCTCAAGCTACGTTCAAATGAAAAGCTTCAAACAGATAACTAGAGTTTCCAAATTCCCACTAGTACATGATACAGATTGCAAGAAGAAACCATACCATTTACCTTATCGATTAATGCTGCTCTGAGTTCAGGAATACCTTCATCGTTACCATAACGACTAACTTGCGGCTTAGTTACGAGGTCTTTCACCTTTTCCAATGCTTTCTCGGGAGGTTGCCAATAAACCACCCCCTAAAGTAGATAATTTAAAAAAATCCATTACAAATTGCAACTAAGGAACAAGCAATAATACATAAAAATCAGAAGAATCCTAGTGGTCACCAGTCACAGCAATAAAAAATTAAGCAGAACCATGAGCCGCAATTAGATGCATAATCAAAACCACACTTTAGCAACCAATCCTATATGTAAGCTATACCATACAAATCAGTCCTGGATTCAACATTAAATCTGCCTTCGCAAATTAAGGTGAGGCCTCATGATTAACATTCAAATAGAGCAAAGCAAGCAATATTATAACTGTGTTATGAGACAGACATCACAAGTTAACCACCCCCCACCCCCCAAAAAAAAAAAGAAAGAAAGAAAGTTCCATGTGTGATTTTCTAATTCATTTCTATTGTTTTCTATACATTCTCTCTAACTTCAGCAATATTGAGGCAAAATATTCATGGATATGCCACTCCTTATCATTTCCTGTTTCTCATTAAAAAAAAATGTTGTGGCTCAGACATTTTCTAGATCAAGAAGGCAGCAAATTCCCAAGAATGTTAAAGGTCTGTCGACAATCATCATTCACAATTTCCTAAAAGGAACAAACCCATATAAGTCCGCACCAAACATGTCCTAATTCTTGAAGAGTAGTAAATAAACTATAAATTATTCCCATTTCTCAATATCTCCAAAGCACCCCAAACTTCCAAGCAAACTACACTAATTTATAATCAAACATTGAAAACACCATCTCCTCCTCTCTCTGCCTCGGCAAAAATCACCAAGGGGTCAGATTAGTAAATAGAAACAAGCATTGGAGATGAAAACGTGGGAGACAAAAAAGACCTGGGCCAAAGACACGGCATTCTTAGCTCCTCGGAGCAATTCCTGCATCTGCAAACACACCTCGGTTATCAAAAACATAATCAAGCATCATCAATCCAAAGGCGAAACACTCATTGGAAGGGATCAAATTCCAATGAAGAGAGAAGTTGCATGAGAGTGAGTTGTGAGTACCTGAACCATAACTGGCATATCAGTTTCCAAGGCCCTCTTTGAAAGCTTTAGGAACGAACCCATGTCTCACCAACCAAACCAGAGAATGCCCCGATTCTGACTTACAATGGGCATGGAATGAACGAGTTTGTTCCTCGGAGAACGGCTGCTTATATCAGCCAGCATGATGTTCATATTGGAGAAATGACTGTGAGGGAAACATTGGCTTTCTCAGCAAGGTGCCAAGGGGTTGGATCACGTTATGGTTAGTCCATTTTTACCATCCTTGCCAAACTTTTCAACTCCAATTTAAGAAGTATTTAATGTAAGCATGACTTTTGGATCTCCAGACATGCTATCTGAGTTGTCTAGAAGAGAGAAAGCAGCAAATATCAAGCCTGACCCTAATCTCGATGTCTACATGAAGGTAAAAAGAAGAAGCTCTTCTAAATAATTCTTTATTTCAGTAAAATAAGATAACCAAAAACAAAAATCTATATATTATCTTTGCATTTAAATTATCTTTAAATATATCAGGCAACTGCAACTGCAGGCCAGGAGTCAAGCATCGTAACAGATTATACAATGAAGGTAATGCTTTAAACAAGGTTCAGTTTGATTGTGTAATGACATGCGTTAAAGTTCGTTATGAAGCCCAAGGTATTGAATTATATATCGTATACTTTTGCAGATTTTGGGGTTGGATATATGTGCTGATACTATGGTGGGGGATGAAATGTTGCGTGGGATATCTGGAGGACAAAGGAAGCGTGTGACTACCGGAGAGATGTTGGTTGGACCAGCAAATGCCTTATTCATGGATGAAATCTCCACAGGGTTGGACAGTTCCACAACATTCCAGATTGTGAGCTCTCTCAGGCAATATGTTCACATTCTAAATGGAACTGCTGTTATATCTTTGCTCCAGCCAGCACCCGAAACTTATGACCTTTTCGATGACATTATCTTATGCAAGAATAATATATTTTTAATGTATGAGTAAGATATATTATAAAGAGTTAATAACTTATACACTGTCAATGTAAAGGCTTTTTATACTGGCAACCAATCATATCTTTTAATAGTGTTATGTCAGTTGTTCATTTTAATGAAATAAAAATAAAATAAAATAATTTAAAAAATATGATTGGTTATCAGTGTAAAAAACTTTACACTCACAGTATATGGATAATTATCTCTATTATAAATCTTGCAAAAACATTAAATATTTTAATAGCCATATCTTAAATATATATTGTTAACTATTAATATTATTAAATTTACATACATTTTATTTGAGGGTACAATGAATAAGTTTTAAAATTTAATTAGATTAATCAACAAAATTATGAGACATAAAATAATAACTTTAATCATATAGTAATAATTTAATAACAATTATTTTGATTAATAAAACATTAATATTATATAATTTATTAGTACAATAATAAACTATACGAGTACAATAACATTATTTTTGTGTTTATTATAAACATAAAAGTAATATTATTTTTATATTGATTTTGATCATCACCCAAAAAATTTCTATAACATTAAAATATGTGTATATTTTATAAGTTGTTATTTTTTTTGTTTTATTGATGTGAGACTAAATTTTTTGTTTTATGGATGTAACATTTGTTTATATCCCGTCAGTCACATGAAGCCACTTTATTGGAACTAGGAACTAGGAACTTTCCTCTTCTTTATATGACCATCGGAGGGTGGAACTTTCTTCTTAGAGACTTGCGACTAATTCCCCGCGTGTTCTTCTTTTTCCTTCTTTTCTGGTTTTATTTTTTAACTGCTTCTACATTTTCTTAATTAACTTACCAGAGAAAAGTATTATTATATTTCAACGTTTGACTTTTCAATTGCCGCCTGTTTTCTTGGCATGAAAGGTATAAATAGAGACATGTTTCTCATGAAGACAAACCCCAACACTTGTTCATTTTATCATATTCTTTGATTCTTTAGCATTTATTTGCACTCGGAAGAAATAGTGGTGTGTCATTTCGTTTCGTTACATAAGCTTTACCAACCTTGAAAAACAAGAAACAAGGTGGTGGGTAAAAGCATCAAAAAGAATTAATGGAGGGAAGTGATATATACAGAGCGAGTAACAGTTTACGAGCAAGAAGTTCAACAGTTTGGAGAAACAGTGGTGTGGAAGTATTCTCAAAGTCTTCACGGGAAGAGGATGATGAAGAAGCTCTCAAATGGGCTGCACTTGAGAAACTCCCTACCTACAACCGTCTCAGGAAAGGCTTGTTAACTGCATCTCATGGAGTCGCCAATGAGATCGATGTCACTGATCTTGACTACCAAGAGAAACAAAAACTTCTTGAGAGGTTGGTCAAAGTAGCTGAAGAAGACAATGAGAAGTTCTTGTTAAAGCTCAAGGAGCGAATTGACAGGTATACACTGATACAACCTCTTCATCATTCATAACTAATAGGCTACTTCCAAGACAAAGACTCATGCTTTTTCTCTTTCTATGTTTTTTATAGAGTTGGACTAGATATTCCAACAATAGAAGTTCGATATGAGCACCTTAATATTGAAGCAGAAGCTTTTGTGGGAAGTAGAGCTTTGCCATCTTTCATCAACTCTATTACTAATGTCGTAGAGGTAAGAAGGGGCTGGTTCTAGTTAGGGTCCATGAATATAATTCTGGTTTCTTTTTTAATCTTGTTTATGTTTTGCATTTGGTCTCATAACTGGTTTTCTCTATTTGGCCTTGCAGGGATTTCTGAATTTACTCCATATCATCCCAACCAAGAAGAAACACGTGACTATTCTTAAAGATGTTAGCGGGATTATTAAACCTCGCAGGATGACATTGCTTTTGGGTCCTCCAAGTTCAGGAAAGACCACACTTCTTTTGGCTTTATCTGGGAAGCTTGACAAAAGTCTTAAGGTGAAACAGATTTCTCTTATAAATATAGAGTCACTTTTTCTATAAAAAAGAAATGTCAAGAAATCTAATATGGATACCTATGTGTTGTTATTAAGGTATCTGGAAAAGTGACTTACAATGGGCATGGAATGAACGAGTTTGTTCCTCGGAGAACGGCTGCTTATATCAGCCAGCATGATGTTCATATTGGAGAAATGACTGTGAGGGAAACATTGGCTTTCTCAGCAAGGTGCCAAGGGGTTGGATCACGTTATGGTTAGTCCATTTTTACCATCCTTGCCAAACTTTTCAACTCCAATTTAAGAAGTATTTAATGTAAGCATGACTCTCCATTAAATAATTCATGTTCTACGACAAGTATTCATCCAATTAATTAAAAGTATTTAATATATAGATCAAATTTATAAAATTTTTGAAAAAAAATTAAAAATTATTTGATATTGTATTTTATTAATTTAAATTGATGGATTATTATAAAAAAAACATTTTATATGTTAGGTTGAATCTATTTAATGAAGTATCATATGATTTTCATTTTTTTTTAAATTTGTAAACTTAATTTATACATTAAAAACTGTTAATTTAACAGTTGAATTTTTAAAATTTTGATATAAAGTAGAGTAGATTTATCAAGACTTACTTTTAGAGTAAGTAAATTTTTTCCTCATAAAAAATTAAGATAATTTTATCATAAAATAAAAGTAATTAAACAATAAAATAAAATATTAACATATTTTATTATATTAAATATAATAAAATAATTATAATATATTTAATAATATATTTTTTATAAAATAATTAATATTTTATATAAAAAATAAATAAAATAAACAAAATTTTAGTGGGGGCAACTGCCCCTACTACGTTGAACGTAGATCCGTCAATGTATATGAGATGAGAATTTTCTTCTCAACATAATTTATTTTTATCTAAGACAAGCATGTAAACCTTATATAACTTGGTTAAATTGCTCAATTTTTTTAGTTTCAAACAATTTTAAAATTTGCTTAAAAGTATTTTTTGTTAGAACAATTTTTAAAATCGTTTTTTATATAAAAAATAATTTTAAAGTGGTAAAAATTTTGTTATAAATCACATAAATTTACGTTTATTTGAAGAAAAAAAAGTATAAAGTATATAAATTAGAACAATTTTTAAAAGAATTATTAAAAAAATATAAATTTAAGTTGATTTCCATATTCAAAAGACATGCATGACATTGAAGTAGTGCGTGGTTACATAAAAGGTTTTTGAAGTAAAATGTTAGAACATCTTATGTAAACCTTTTTTACTTAAGTGTGAAAAATTAGTTGACAAATAACATCACTAACTCTTAAGTTTGTAAGTTAGGTTTTATTATTATTATTGTTATTATTATTATTATTATTATTTATTAAAGTTCGGGGTTGGATTTCTTATATATATAAAAAAACATATATTATGCGATATTTTGATAATAATATATTTAGTTTAAAAAAGAAAAAGAGGTTTTGATGGAGAGAGAAGAGATATTTAATTTTTATTTCATTCATAAAGAGAGTTTTTTTTTAAATTAATTTACTTTTATAATATTCTTAGACTTTGTTCAAGGGAGAGGAATGAATAAAAGAAAATAAAAGAGAATATCTGAAAATTGATTTGATAGGAATTAAATAAGAAATTGAATGAAATTTGTAATTGTTTAGTAGAGTAAAATTAAGTGAGAAATAAAGTGAATTTAAGACTTATAATTACTATTTTACCCTTATTTTATAATATATTTAGAACTAATATCTTTTATTTTATGTAAGTTTAAATATTTTTCAAAATCTATAAGAGTTCCCTCAATGAAGAAGATATGAAAAATGATGTGAGACTCACTTTTAATTTCTCACAATTTTTCTTAAATATCTTCTATCAAACACAAAATTTTTTTTTTCAAATTCATTCTAATCCATCCCCCTTCCCTCATGTTAAATCATCTCCATCAAACATAAGCTTACAATTTTAAATTTAAAAATATAAATGAAAATATTTTAAACATTAAACTAATAATATTTTTAGATTTTTCATCTCTAAATCCACCTAATACTAGAAGGAATTAAAATTAAATAATAAAAAAATACCCCTGTCTTCTCTTAAAAAAACTAAACCAAAAGAGCAAAAGTTTATAAAAAGTTTCTTTCCTCCCCTCCACTCCATCTCCTATTTTTTTTAACTAAACATCACGTAAGCGAATCACGATGAAGACTTGGTCCTTAATTTTAGATTACAACAATATATCTTGACTCATTAAAACGAAAGAAACAAAATCCTCACCATTAAATTCACCTTAGTAGGTAATAGGTTTTTTTATTCGTAGGTACTATGTTTGATTACATAAATATAAGAAAACAAAAAATATATATATTTAATTTAAAGAAAGAGGAGGTGTTACGTAAATTTGAACAGATAAAATTGGAGATCTTTTGATGTTTTATATGGTGCTCCTCTTCCAATCTGTTGGCCCAAGAGGTGAAGACTACGTGGCGGCTAAGCCCTGTCGGTTTTTTTCTGTTTCATAGTAAAAGTAGAGAGAGAAAGAAAGAACGGAGACATAAACACAAATGGCGACTCTCAATCTCTTCTCTCAGCCATTGCAACCCACAATTTCTCCTTCTTTCTGTTGCTCTAATACTAATCACTATAATTCTAACAATTCTAAATTACATTTCTTTACCAATTCCCGTCACTTCTCTGTTCTTCCTCAATTCTCCACTCACTCCTCAAACTCAAAGTCAGGTACTGTTTCGCCACTTTACAAAATTATCATCATATTTCACTTGTTTTCGACCCAGTTTAAAAAAATTATGTTTTTAGTCTAATTAGATAACTGGGTAATGCCGTGCTATGTTTACTAAATGGCATTTGGAATGAGCATTTTCTGACAAATCTTGTGCTTGATTGGTAATTGATGCTATTCAAATTCATCCAAGATGATTATTAGCTTGTTGTTAAAGCTTCAAGTCAACTAACTACATCTTTGATCTATTAGTGAAAATAGTGAATTGAAAAATGAAATGAACTTTGGGAGTTGTAATTTCTTCTTCAACAGCTACATTTGCTGATCTGAAGCTGTTGGAAATTATTTGTGCCGTGTCATTTGAAACTTTAATATGCAGTTGCAATACTTCATGCAGGCAGTGGAAATTCATGGCTGCAAAACAGTTCCACTTCTGCTGGCATTGAGTACAGGAAGCGTCCTCTATATTCTGTGTTTCCCACAAAACCTGCTCAAGTCGCCTCTGTGCAAGACCTCTATGAATTTATTTGCTCAGGACCTTTGCTTGACAAAATAGGTATCACACAAGAGCAGGTGGCTGAGTCCATTGATACGTGGCTACTGTATGGCCGGTACCTATGCAGATTGTTTCAGCTTAATGAGTTGTACCTTACAGAGCCTCAAAAGGCTAGGATTTATCACTACTATGTACCAGTCTTTCTCTGGTGTGAACAGCAGATTTCTCAGCATCAGTCCAAGTTCAAAGAGGGAGAAGATATACCTCCCTTAGTGGTATGCTATATACTTGGCATTCTTCGGTCATTCTCTCTCTCTCTCTCTCTCTCTTGTTTGTTTTCTCTATGATTTGGTGTCATACAGTTTATTATGAAGGCTATGTAAGATGTAATTCTGTAACATTAAATATAACTATAGGATTTATTATTTCTAAGAAAATCATTCAAGTGGCTTGTAGTTCTGTTGGAAAATGCCTAGTGTTTCAGTAAGGATGTTGCCGAATAATTTGTCAAGAAACCAAGTCTTTAACAGCTCGCCTCAGTTGTGGTCTATGAGTTAGTTGTCAATGTCTCGGAAATAGCTACCTATGGAGGAGCTGACCAGAGAGGCTGAGTGAAGTGTTGTAGAACGCAATCACCACTTTGAGGGAGTTCAGATTCCATATTGGCTAAAAATATGATCAATGTAGTCCTTATAAAGCTTGGACATATCTTTCTTTACAAGTTAGTTTTTTGAGGTTGAGGTAAACTCTAAGCATAAATTTCAAAATGATATTAGACCTTCTCTTAAATCTATTATTGGGTCACCTGCATTGCCACACTCCAAGTCCATAATCCTATGTGTGAGGGGGTGTGTTGGAAAGCCACCTTAATTGCAACCAATGGCAAAGCAGAAAGGCTTAAGCCAAAATTATGAGAAAGAGTAATAATTTTAGGGAGTTTTGGTTTTACTTTTCAGTAATTTTTCAGCTTTATAAAGAGCAATAATCTGCTTGTAATATGTGATAAAGATTTTCCTATTTCTTTGTCTTTTAAGGTATTATTTTCAGATTTTTTTCTTCCTTATTCCTTCCATATAACAACAATTTTCTTGATTTTGTATGACAGATTGGTTTTAGTGCTCCTCAAGGCTGTGGAAAGACAACCCTTGTCTTTGCTCTTGACTATCTTTTTGAAGAGATTGGCAGGTAGGCTCTGAACTTTGTAGCAACTGTGAGCTTGAATTTATCCTTTGTTCTGATGACTATAGAGAAAGGAGATTATTTAACACATTGTAGATACATGCTTAAATTTTCAGGAAGTCTGCAACAATATCTATAGATGATTTTTATTTGACGGCTGAAGGTCAGGTATATAGAAGCTGTTATTTATATTTGTTTCTTCGGTTGTTGCTTCCATCTTGTTCTTCTTCTATTGAGCTGACAAATTGTGTGTGAACTGTAGAATAAACTGAGGGAGGCTAATCCAGGAAATGCACTTCTTGAGGTAACAAAGCACATATAAGTGAAATAGTGAACAGTAAACAATCCAGGGACATCATTATTTATGACAACTAAAATATTTTGCTTGCTTTGTTTTCTCCTAGTTCCGTGGAAATGCTGGAAGCCACGATCTTGCAATTTCTGTTGAAACTCTGTCAGCCTTAACCAAAATGACAAGAGAAGGTGGCTCGCTGTACTCAATTTTGTTTTCTCCTTGTTATATTGTATTTTTCGCATAATATTTTGTTATTTGAAGTGGTGTTCAGGTATGAAAATGAAGTTACCAAGATATGATAAAGTAAGGGCATAACTTGCAGATTTGGACTATTTAAACATTTCTTGAATTTATAGTTGCTAACTGCGAATTTCCTGTTGATGCAGTCTGCATTCAGTGGGAGAGGTGACCGTGCTGATCCTTCAACATGGCCAGAAATTGAAGGCCCCCTGACAGTAAGAGAATATTCAATTGTAACTCTTAATCTGCTTCTGATGGGTCATTTTCTCTTGGTAAAACATGATCCAACACACACAAGAAAGAAAAAATGCAGAAGCTTACCAAAATTTACCCTCCCCAATTTCAATATTACCTTTGTAGTTCTGAGGTTTGAATAAAATGATTTGCTTCCAGAACTCTGATTATAATATGATTGGTGAAATTTTGGTATTATTCATGCCATGTTCATCTCATGTCAATATCCTTTAAAAAGTGTTGGTCCTTGCATTATGACAAACATGGATGGATGTTCTAGGTTGTGTTGTTTGAAGGTTGGATGCTTGGTTTCAAGCCCCTTCCAGTTGAAGCAGTAAAGGGTGTTGATCCCCAGGTTAGAATTGGCCAACTTCCTTTTTCTTTCTTAAGATTATACTCATGAAGTTTATGATTCTGAATTGCTGATTATGCAAATTCTCTATCCTTTTCTTTTAAGAGGAAGAATTGCCAATGAATTGTGATTTTGCATAAAGATGTAATAAATTGTGCTTATTATTCAGCTAGAAACTATAAATAAAAACCTTGAAGCATACTATGATGCATGGGACAAATACATAAAGTCATGGATAGTCATCAAGATTAAGGACCCAAATTGTGTCTTCCAATGGCGCTTGCAGGTAGGTTGTTTCAACATCCTTTTTCAGAAATTACAAACTGTGTTCAGAACCATGATTGAGTTGTTTGAATATGCAGGCTGAGATTGCCATGAGGGAAGCAGGCAAGCCTGGAATGACAGATGATGAGGTCTGTTGCTCACATGGATTTATGTTTTAAGTATGATGCAATGATGAATAATGTATCTTTGTACTCTACAGGTGAGAGATTTTGTTTCGCGCTACCTGCCGGCATACTATGCATACCTTCCTACACTTTACTCAGAGGGACCAAGTGGATCAGATCCTAAGCATCTCCTAACCATTGAAATAGATGAAGGGAGAAACCCTATCCTTGCTGCCTAGGTTGACTGTATGATAGATCATTGCAGGTTTTTCAATTCTTTGAGATGATTTGAATGGCTATTCAGCATTAATTAGTTACACCATCAGTGGAGCTATGTCATTGAATCAGCACTATTTCCCTTGAAATGTATAGAGAATATTTCATTAATATATAATAGCGAACGGCTAATGCTTTCTGTTTTGTTATTTGATCAAAAAATAGAATAAGAAGCCTAGACTACTAGTCGTTGATAGTTAATGGCTTTTTTATTTTTTCAAGACTTTGTTCATAAAATTATGATCACTTCAGTGACTTCAATAGTACACTATGTGCTGCTGCACCTGCACTTGATTTATTTAATAGTCATAACGAATTCATTTGTTCTTGGAACAATATCACAAAAACTAAAATTTCTTGAAGTACATGGTGCATGAAGAGTATTCCTCATTGGCTTACAGAATCATTAACACAGAAATGATGAAACATAAACTTGACAAATGTCTGTTGAAAATTGGGCAATCTAGGGACAGCAACAACAGGTGCGTTCCAAGCAGCACTGACATCTCTCGTAGCAGCAAAAGCAGCAACAGAGTGTATACAAACTGAATCAAAGATTCAACTGATCAGGGTGTACTGTGTAGCAAAGGGAGAATGCTTGAAGGAGAAAAAGAAAATAAAAGAGAATTGGAAACCGAATATGTACACACCAAGCATAGAGGCTTCCCTTCTCCTCGTGGCGCATCTGAACATGATCATAGTATGACATCTTCTGCTGTGCTGGTGCAGACCCTGTCATATTTTGTGACTTGAAGAAGATGATTCATGCAATAGAGTTATCCCCCACATTTATTTATAAGCTGAAGCATAGAAAGTTTCTTTCAACATGTTTAAGGCTTCCACAAGCCCTTATCTTTTCCTTTCTTGCTAGCCATTAATTATGGTAGTTAGTAGAAAGGAATTGGTTGGCTTCGCTGGCTGGAAAAGTGATGAAACCAACCCCAGAATGATGGGAAAGACCACATTCCCTCTCCTAGGCACAAACACTATGTAAATACCAATCATAGAATCTCATAAAATGTCTATTTGGATAAACTTCTTTAAAATCACTTCTAAAAGAAAAAAAAAATAGTAAGGAAAATTAAAATAAACATCTTCATACGTTAAAATTAACTTATACACAAATTAAAAGAATTTTTTTAGAAAGCTACTAGAATATAGTTTCTACAAACTAATATATGCACAAGTCAATTTTAAATTATGAAAAAACTAATTTTATTTTTCCTTCTTATTTTTATTTCTTAAAAGTTTTCCTGAAAAAGTTTATCTAAACATGCTCAAAGTTTCTAATCTGCTAAGATGGTGGGAAGGGAAGATGTCATAGTCACTAATTTAAAGCTGCACAGTTGCTTTGTTTCATCAGTTTTGTCCCCTAACCTTACATTTCTACCGAACAAGAAATTTGCACACACAACCATAAATGTATAGTGGACGATGACAAGTCTATACGCTCAAATAAAATTTCCTAAAAAGCCCAAACAATGACTAGTACACTAGTTACCACATGATTAATAGAAAATAGAAAATATTACACATGACTTGTTATAAGAGAGATTTCATGACCTGTCCATCATAATTATACACATATGGAAGCATACACTGATCCGTGCCTCAATTTATTAACAACTCTCAATCATAGTGCTTCCTAACCACCCTTCAAACCCATTCATTGTGCAAGAAACTCAACTACCTGTGTAGCCAAATCTGCTGAAGCCAATTCCAGCTTAAGCATATTCTGTCAAAAGAAATCCCATTTTAATTTTATACTTGAAAAGTTAGAGCTAGTAAAGTTTGAATCCACCAACATAGAATTCTGTCTCAAAAATTTTATACTGCCTTGATTTCAATTTTGTTCCAAAATCAATTTCACACTAGAACATACAATGTAATATAAAATTTTCATATTTCAATTAGAATTAATAGTTTTAATTCAATTTTATTGAAATCAATTCTGTTAAAATTTGAAACAAATTGAATCAAATATTTGCGGTTACATAAACCATATATTCATTATTTAATTAGTATTAACAATTTTGAAGGGGAAGAGAATGCACATAAATTAAATTTTCTCTTTAGCTGTATGATAATGATTGGACATCTGGACTTGGGCTTCAGTAGTACAAATTTCAGGCTCCTATTTTCTTATCAGCAAAATTTTCATTGGGCTTAAAATTGTTACACTACATTTTTCTTTGAATGTACCCAAAGAACTTTTATACAAGTTAATTATTTTTTTTTTAACTTTTCGAGAGTAAAGAATAAATATGATTAAATGCTACGTTAATTATTCTTGAACATGATAATTAAACGTTTTCCTTCTCACCCCGCTCAAACATGTAAATAAAGGAATGAAATGTATTACGTTAATTTTTTTTTTATATTAAATGATTTAAATAATGAAATTTAATATTATTTACCAGCATGTCATTGGTTCTTGAACCTGATAATTTTACTTTTTATACCTTGCATAGATTTAGTTTTAGTTTGATTATCGTTCTTCAAAATAATTTTTGGTATATAGAAATAAGTGCTTCAATTTATTTTTAATTCTTATAAACATAATTTTATGTGATTTCAACTTTTCATAAATTCATTTATTATTTTTGTTCTTTGTGAACTTTAAAATATCTATCAACAAATTCTCTCGTTAAACGATAACCTTTGAGTGATGATATGATAATAGAATGTCACATCATTTCCATATCACCTCTGATACTCTATCAAAGGGACCAAAATAAAAAATTAATTAATTAATAAAGGGATAAAAATATTATATTTACAAAGATAAAACTGTATTTAAATAAATTTATAATATGTGAGTTATGGAACCTAAGGAAATAAAAATACCAGATGCTTTAATAGTTAACTAACCATTCCTTTTTATATTTCACACTTAATTAACCTATTGAAGATCGATAATTTTCTTTGGACATCTCAATCAAATGTTTTTTAATATCTTCTTAATCTTTTTAAATGTTTCAATATACAACTTTAAACTAGAAAGTTTAGTCCTTAATGAGTATGAGAACCTCAAAATTTTTTACTTTAGCCTATTAGCATTGTTGAAACGTGTCATTACTCATTAGTTCCTCCTCAACCAATACGCGCACTGCGCACAAGGTTGCATACGTGATCCTTAACGTATTTGGTTTAATTATGTTCTAACAAATATTTGTTTTCATCTATTATTAATTTGTATTCTTTTATTATGAGGGTAGTGATGATATAATATTTATCATTACTCAATTAACTGCAATAAGTTAATAAAGGACTACCATTATACATTTTTTTATATAATAAATATGTTTTTATTTTTCAAAAATAAACTTTATTTAATTTTAGTTCCTAAAAATTTTTCTTAATTTTAGTCCTCTAAATTTATATAATACTTATTTTTTATCTCTTTTAAAATACTGCTAATTTTTGCTTTTAAAATAAATCACCTTAGTACTCGAATTACTATTAGTTTTATTGACATGAATTTTTTTAATTTAAAATATTAATTATTTTAGGATTAAGTTAATTTTTAGAGTAAAAATTATTTTTATACTTAAAAATTTTAACTATTCACTGTCGGTTCTAGGTATGGAGGTTAAGAAGTGTTTTATTTTATTTTTTATTTGTCTATTTTGCTTTCACTTTTAGTAGAAGAAGCCAAAAGCTTCCTATTTTTTATAGGTAGCACCTCAAGGTTTGATAAGGGAGAGTGTTATGTAAAATAATTTGTGTATTGAGGGTTTTGAGAGCCATTAAGGGTGAAAGGATGCAGTAAAATATTTGAAATTCGAAACTTAGAGGGTTGCCAATTGAGACTAAATGCTACTTTGAATTTGTGAAAAAATTTTATTTGAGTTTGGTGGTAGGCTCTTTGTTCAAGTAAAAATTTGAAACTTAGAGGATTGTCAATTGAGACTAAATACTACTTTGAATTTGTGAAAAAAATTTATTAGAGTTTGATAGAAGGCTCCTTGTTCAAGTAAAAAAAATTATTGGAACCTCCATACCTACCTTTAAGAGTGAATAGTAAAAAAAATTAAAATTATTTTTATCCTATAATTAAACCCTAAAATAATTAATGGTCAAGAATATGAACATATACGCACATTGATGTAAGGACTAACATATTAGTTATTACATGTAAACTCAAAATAATTATAAGGAGAGTTTAAACAACACCAATATAATTTTTACTAAGTATTATACTGCTCAATAATTTTAATTAAATATAAATTTTATAAATCAAACTGTTAGATTTAAAGTCTTTTACTATTATATCATAGATACAAAGTTTTATATTAATCCAAGATGATTTGATATTTCATTCTTATAAAATAAAAATGTATTATATATTTCAAAATATAATAAAATATGAATACTCTGATTACCTTCAAGTTATTGTTCAATTTTAATAAGATTTAATATAAACATACAAAATGATATGAAATTATAATTCAATGGTTAGATTTACAAAATTTACATTTAATATAAAATTATTAAATAGTGTAATGGATAGTAAAAATTACATCAGTATCATTTAAACCCTCCTTTCTCTCTCTCTCTTTCTATATATATATATATGAGGAGGGTTCAAACGACACCGGTGTAACTTTTACTAAGTGTTACACCGCTCAATAACTTTATATTAAATGTAGAATTTGAATAATCTTAATTCTTGTCGGAGAAGTATCTCCACTTACAAAGAGAAATTATTAAATGATTTGGGAGTATCATGATTTCAAATAACTTTAAATAATATATAATTAAATGATATTATTATTTATCGTAAATTGAAAAACTAGTTAGAACTATATGCATGTGATAGTTGAAAATTATTTAATAATTTATCTGCTAACTGGATCCAACTCTTAACTTTATATAATTTTTTTTCTTCAAAAAACAACTTTATATAATTTTCATCTTTTTATAGCAATAATAAGTCTATAGTATTATTGATCTCTTGCTCATTTTTCGTGTGAGACAAGTTTTTTTCCTTGATAAGTCGTTATCTTTCTCTCTTTTAATTAATGCTTTTCTATGACTATTAGTTAGCGTATTTGTTGGAATTTAATTGTATTTTTCTTTGAAATTTAAAAAAAAATCAAGAAACAAGTTCATCTTTGTACATCATAACAAGATATTAATTTATAAAATAAGTTTATCAAATGACTTAATTTTTTGACATTTTAATCTGAGAAATAAATCTAAATATTCCTCAAAATAAAAATAAAAATAAAAACCAAACATAAAAAAATTGGTAGATCAGTAGATCCATAGTTTTTGAAGCATGCATGTTTTAATTTATACAAATCATGTCATTGCTTCATATAATTGATGAAGGGTTTGTCTCTAAAATTAGTAAATAAGGATAAATCCGTCTTTTAATAAAGTAAGAATAAATTTAAAGTACATCGTTGATATATAATCTTTAAGACATTAAAATTCAGGAGTGAGTATACGAAATATTATGTAAATTATGAAGTGGATCATAAATGATTCTAACAAGTACAAAACCGGGGAGAGCTAGCACAAAGCCGAAGTCACTACATTACATTACATGCACACTCTTATAATGAAGATCATAATATTATTAATTACATGCCAGCCTCATTTATTTATTTTTTTTCCTTTTCATATCACTAATATAGAGATCAGTCTTAGGTTTTAGCTAGTTCTTTTCAAGTCAAAGAAAAATTAACTAACTAGAGGTGCTAAAGGGACATGTACATGCTAAGCACCATAGATATTTAATTTCATTATCCTAGATTTAATTTCTAACTGGCCGAAACTTGTACACTTTGAAACTGTTCTCATAGAGCTTATGATCATTACACTAATTATTCTTCTTCTAGGTGGAACTCCTACATTTTGAACCAAACCTCGTACCTGCAATATTTGTAAATCACAGGAATTAATAAAAATAAAAAATCACCTTAATTATAATTACACAAAAAAACATAAATAACGATCCACGTACCTAAGCCGATGACCTCTGAGCTTATCATAAGTCTTATCCTTTTGCATGATTCAACAAACATCCTAGAAAAAGAACCAGAGAGGGTTTTATTTTTTAAGAAAATGAAACAGATAGTAGAACGATTAATATAGTATAATATTATATATAAAATTGGTGAATATACAAAAAGGTTACCAAACATAAATCATAAATTAATAGAACTTACTTCCATGGTACATCCCCAACCAACATCCAGTCACCATCCTTATCCTCATAGGTTGGCATGTATTCCATTCCATTTCCGGACTCCATCAGTTTCCTCTCATTCATCAAATGATTACCTGTAACAATGGTTGCCCACAAAAAAGACTCAATTACCCCTAGCTAATATATATATATATATATATTCATCTCGATATAAATCGTTAATTTTCATCCATATTAATTTTTACACTTACCAATAATTAAGCATACAAATTAAAAAGTTCGGCTGGAAATGGCTATTACTGATTA